TGTGTGTCTGTGTGTGTGTGTGTGTGAGTGTGAGTGTGAGTGTGAGAGAGAGAGAGTGAGAGTGTGCGTGTCTGTGTGTGTCTGTGTGTGAGTGTGTGTGTGCGCGTGTGAGTGTGCGTGTGCGTGTGAGTGCGTGTGTGAGTGTGTGTGTGTGTGTACCATATTTTGGGGGCAAATGTGTACCTAGAAGTGAGCTAAGCCTAAAAGAAAATCTCTCAAAACCTCCTTTTGAGGATAATAAATTAAAATAAAATGTAGTAAAAGTATTTTTTCCAGTATTTATAACTAGCTGTATATAAAAACAATAGAAGTACATGTAGTGTCCCCAATAAGAAGCGCGCGTGTGTGTGTGTGTGTGTGCGCGTGCGTGTTTTTGTGACATGAGGACACAAATTTGTATAATGACATGGGTATGACAGGTATTACAAGGAGAAGGTGACTTATGAGGACATTACCCCATGTCCCCATTTTTCAAAACGCTTATAAATCACGTGATAACAAGGCGCTCTGATTGTTTTTGTTGTAGAATACGATAGGGGATATATTCACACGTTATAGAAACGAAAATGATGGTGTATAAAATTGATTTTAAGATAAAAAATTAGACGACAAAGAATTAACTTGACGGAGCTCAAACTCAAAACACACGGCAGCAACAAACAGGAAGTTGTCCCCACAATTCTCAAAAACAAACCCGAGTGTGAGTGTGTGTGTACCATATTTTGGGGGCAAAAGTGTACCTAGAAGTGAGCTAAGCCAAAAAAAAAATCTCTCAAAACCTCCTTTTGAGGATAATAAAATAAATATTTATAACTAGCTGTATATAAAATAGAAGTATATGTAGTGTCCCCAGTAAGATATCTGAGGGAGCTTGTGTGTGTGTGTGTGTGTGTGTGTGTGTGCGCACGCACGTGTGCATTCAAGCTCAGATGATTGACAGTACGATATATTGAAAAACCACACCCCCATTAGCTGTCACTCACTCCTGACTCCTCCCACACATGCCTGTCTCTCATTGGCCGATGCGTCTGTCAGTCACCGTGTCATGTGATCACGTGTCTGAGCTGTACGATGTGTGTTTGCAGTGAACTCTTCTTCAGCTCTGTACTGTCTGTGTCATGGATTTCTTTTATCCAGCACTGACTGTTCATTCATCCTCCCTGTCTCCGTCTCTGTCTGTCTGTCTCTTTGTGTTGTGACCTTGCTTTTCTCTTCATGAGTCTTTCTCTCCATGAACAGAATCTCAGCAGATGTCAGTCAGATGTGTTTCTCTCTTCAGTGTTTTGCAGGATCTTGTTTCTTCACTCTCACATCAAACACACTCGTCTGCTCTCTCTCTTTTCTTTGCTTCTCTCTGCTCATTTTCTTCTTTTCATTTGCTTGTCCTTGACAAACACTCCTCTGTCTGTTCATCACAAACATCTTCATCCAGTGAAGTCATGAAGAGAGACCCGTCATCATCACTGACTCACTGCGAACGATTGATCAGATCAATCAGCAGATCACATGAAAGACTGACTGAGTGTGAATGAGTTTATTCTGAGTGTGTCACGGCATGAGAGACACAGAGACAATAGAGACGACCATCAGTTATATACTTATACAGTTTAAAATCACTAGACACAGATATTAGTATTCCAGAGAGACGTTTGGTAAAATAAATGATTGTGTGTTTAATAATTGTTCCTCTCATTGCGTGATACTTTTGATGAAAAGAATATGAATCTGATTGCTCCTTGTCTGTGTTTAAAATCACTAGACACAGATATTAGTATTCCAGAGAGACGTTTGGTAAAATAAATGATTGTGTGTTTAATAATTGTTCCTCTCATTGCGTGATACTTTTGATGAAAAGAATATGAATCTGATTGCTCCTTGTCTGTCTGTCTGTCTCTCTGTCTGTCCATTCGTCTGGCTGTCTCTGTCTGTCTCTCTCTGTCCGTCTGTCTGTCTCTATTTCTCTGTCTGTCCATTTGTCTTTCTCTCTGTCCATTTGTCTGTCTGTCTCTCTGTCCATTCGTCTGTCTGTCTGTCCGTCCATCCGTCTGTCGGTCTGTGTGTCTGTCTTTATCTCTCTGTCCATCCATTTGTCTGTCCATTCGTCTTTCTGTCTGTCTCTGTCTCTCTGTCCGTCCATCCGTCTGTGTCTATCTTTATCTCTGTCCATCTGTCTGTCCATCCACCTGTCTCTCTATCTCTCTGTCTGTCCATTCGTCTTTCTCTCTGTCTGTCTGTCCGTCTGTCTGTCCATTCATCTGTCTGTCTGTCCATCTCTCTCTCTATCTATCCGCCTCTGTCTGTCTCTGTCTCAGCTCGTATCAGGCGTTACTCAGACGTCATGGCTCTGCCGGACTCCTTCATTCAGAAGCAGCAGTTGGACGTATCGATGGCCGACATGTTTCTGGAGCATCTGTGTCTACTGGACATCGATCAGGAGCCGATCACTGCGCGCAACACCAGCATAATCTGCACCATCGGTCAGTCACTGCAGCGCCACAATACAATCATAATCATCAGAATTACATGACGTATTTTCATTTGTATTTTTATATCTGACAATGAAATTGAGTGCATATTTACATTGAATCGGTTCATCCTTTTCCTGGGAATCAAACCCATGGCCATGCTGTTGCTAATGCCTGTTCAACTTTCTGAGCTACAGGAAAACCTATTTTTAATATTTTTTATCTTATCATTTCAAAAAAGCCTCCCGCTCCGTCACCAAACTGCAGGAGATGGTGAAGGCCGGTATGAACATCGCCAGACTGAACTTCTCTCACGGCTCTCATGAGGTGTGTGTGTGTGTGCGTCTCTGTATGACACACGTACAGCGTCTCACACGTGTCTCTTCTAGTATCATGGAGAGACGATACGTAACATCCGTGAGGCGGTGGAGACGTTGACCTCTGACGCGCTGTACTACAGGCCTGTGGCCATCGCTCTGGACACCAAAGGACCGGAGATCCGCACCGGCCTGGTTAAAGGGGTACGACTGGCCTGAGTAGAGGAGTGTGTGTGTGACAGTGAGTCAGACGATCAGTGTGTGTGTGTGTGTGTGTGTGTGTGTGTGAGACAGTCTGCAGACGCTGAGGTGATGCTGGAGCAAGGAGCGTTGGTTCGGGTGGTGACGGCAGAGGCGGATCATGATAAGACAGACGGGTCGGTGATCTGGATGGATTATCCCAGCCTGCCCCGCGTGCTCAAGAAAGGAAGCAGGGTATTCATTGATGACGGCCTCCTCGCACTCAAAGTCCTGGAGATTGGTACAGCAAACAAACATCAGCTCATGATCACCATTAAAATACATTGAGATTAAAGAAATTCATTTTCATAAGATTTTTTAATTATAGTAAAGAAAATGAGAATATTTTGCATTGCTATACTGAAAATTGTCATAATGCAAAAAAATTAAATACACTTAGTTAATATGCTATATAATATGCTTTATTTTTATCTTTATTTTTTATTTATGCATAAAATAATTTCTCAGTTTTCTTTCTTTATTTTTATTTTTTTGCAGTGGTATGTCCCGCACACGTTTTTTGATATTTTTATAAGCTTCACCCTGTTATTGTTTGTTTGTAGTCTTGAGGTGCAAAAGCTTATATATTATTTTCATATTGTGATATTTGGATATTACTAATGATATGTTTAATCAGTAATCATTCTTTGTTCTGGACACTTTAAAACAAACCTATTAATTTCTATTCCAAAAATACTTTTATTTATCAGATTTCATTGTTTAATTGCTGCAGATGGGTTTGATTGCTCCTCCAGCTACAGTCCTCAGATTTAAAACAAGTCGTACAAGGATAATGAAATCAAACTAAATCATTAGCAGATTTCATGATGCATCAGATTATTTGGTCATAAATTAATCAGTTTTTTCACCCTGATGCATAAAGTGTTTCTGGTCTCCTGAACTCTTCTTCTGTCAGGTGAGACGTGGGTGGAGGCTCGCGTTGAGAACGGTGGCATTCTGGGTAGTCGTAAAGGTGTGAATCTGCCGGGGGCGGAGCTGGTGAACCTGCCGGCGGTGAGCGACCGCGACCGATCTGACCTGCTGTTTGGCGTGGAGCAGGACGTGGACATCTTCGCCTCGTTCATCCGCTCGGCTGAGGATGTGAGGGCTGTGAGAGAGGCGCTGGGAGCCAAAGGACAGAACTTCAAAATCATCAGCAAAGTGGAGAGCAGACAGGGTGTTCAGAAGTGAGGCTCAGATTCAACACAATTCCACATTCTTCCACACACTTCAACATGCTTCCACATGCTTCAACAGGCTTCAACATGCTTCCACATGCTTCTACATGCTTCCACACACTTCAACATGCTTTATGTACAGAAACTAGTGGCATTTTAATTTAATATTTATTTAAATAAATATTATAAATATATCTGTATATATGATATGTAAATTTATTTTATTCTATATTTAACTTATTAAATACATTAATATTATTCTTATACATTTATTTATATGTATGATAATATATCTAAATACCTAAAATACCTCATTAAAATTATATAAATACTATTTAGAATAATATTTCATTAAAATAACATTTAAAATTAATTTATATCAATAAAATAATTACATTATTTTTAATTATTAAAAATGAAAATTATTACATTTGGGGTGGGGGGGGGGTTACTACTGGCTCGCAATTT